AGCGGGGTCATCTGGCAGTCTCCAGCCACCTAAATTAGGACCCGGAGACTGCCAGATGACCCCGCTCGGAGCGCCGCACACCGGAGCAGCAGTGACGCTCGGCGAGGTAAGTAAGATGACACCTGGCGCTGACTCGAGTATAAGCCGAGGGGGGCACTTTTCACCCAAAAAAATGGGCTGAAAATCTCGGCTTATACTCGAGTATATACGGTAAATCTCAACTTCAGCTGAAATTGTTTCTTTTGTTATTTCAGCAAGTGTGGGAGGTGTCCACTAGAAACCCCTCAGGTTTCCCCATCTGGGTGTATATTGCAGGTTCTTGCTGGGAACCCATCCCTGCCCTGTGAATCACAACAGCAGTCAAAAGAAAAGTTGCACACCGTTGACGTCACAGAGCACTGTTGCAATGTAAGGTGGTGCTATTGTGTGTAAGATTTTACCTTTACTTTCTGTTTAAAGTGCAACTGAAGTCTTAGCTTTTTTTCTAGTTTTGCATAGAATGGAGATAAATTAGAACACCCGTCACATTTTTATTGTGGTTTGTGTGCTTGTGAAGGAGATTTATTACCTATTTGTCTTGGTGACCACTTGGTCATCACTGAAAGTGAAACAGAAGGAAAATCCCAAATATTGGGTTGTTACCAAAACCGGAATAGACGGGAAACCTTCCAATTGGGACACTAGTTCTGGTGATCCTGATGGCCACAGGGGTTGCTCCATCTTTGAAGTGGTTTCTTCTCAATTCCTGTGGCTATTGGGCATCTTCCCAATGGGACATAGATGGCAAACAAAGCTGACAGGTGTTATAACTAGGGATGCAGCGGTGCCAATATAAAGTATTTGGGCAAATACTCACCCAAATGCTCCGATACTATTCCCTATAGCGGAACTTTCGGTATCAGGAAGCCAGGGCGGTGAGTCATTGCACGAAGTCCAGCTTCTTGATTGGTCAGGAAGCCGGCTTCACGCTCCCTTGTCACTTGGTGACGAGGGGGCTTGGAGCCGGCTTCTCGGCCAATCAGGGAACTGGACAGGGTGTAATGACTCGCCGCCCGGTTTCCCGATTGGCCAGGAAGCCGGCTCCATGCGTCATCACCTGGTGACAAGGGAGCATGGAGCATCATTACATGCCACCTAGCTTCCTTAATGGGACTATATCGGTATTGGAGTACTGAAAAATAAATATTGTTATTCATACTGGAAAAAACAGTATCGGTGCATCCCTGGTTCTAACCCTTTCCTACCCTAAACAAAAACGAAAAAGTTTTGGATCCCGTTCGCTAGTGGATGTAAAACAGAATAGGAAGTGGAGGGAAATCTCCCAAAAGGCGACCAGGCAGCATTAACAATGTTTCTAGTACAGTGATTGAGTTGTAAACCCTTTCTCAGAATTTTTATCATGGCCTGTGTCCCCATTACGGTGAATTATCCCCGCTTCCTGTCGCGGTGATGGTGTCCGAGCAGAAATGGTAAGCTGTGACTGGAGTGAGGTTTACCGACAAGCGTATAGATATTCCATTTTTTGTGGGGGTAATGCAGTCACATCATGAATGTCTATAATATAATCCATAACGTCACATAAAACCAGAAATCACAGCCATTTATCGTTCTGACTTTATTTATCATACTTCCTTTAAGTACAAAATAATAAAAAAAACAAGAGCTGTCAAAATTGTATCATGCTAAGTCTTAAATAAAAAAAAAAAAGAAGAATGGAATGTGTTTTGTAGATTTCCTAGTAACTAAACAAGTCCTTACTTATTTTCTCAAAGAGGTATGCCAGTTCTCTGAAGAACACAGTAGCACAGGGGAAGGAATATATATAAAAAAACACTGTTGGGAAGACTTCTGGTCATCCCATTCCAATCTGATCATTGTAACATATGCAACAACTTGAATATTAGTGGTGTTTTGTATGTCTGGCCACCTCTAACACAGTTGTGACCAAACAAATGAAAGCTGTTAAAGCTACAGAATCTTTTGGAGGCAATCCGATCAGCCTAGAACATTCATTTCCAGTCTCTTAGTACCATAACTAAAAGGGACAACTCATACTTCTGATTTTGCTGCATAATTTAAATGTTTTTCTGTTCATAAAAATATCTTTGTAAAATAACATTTATTGTAATATACAGACAGCATTCACCAAGAAGAAATACCTTTGTATCTCATGTACAGTACACAGGTGATCAACACTTTTCACTCAATCTTTTAAACAGTGATCAATTGAAATTGTTCATTTGGGAAGATCTTTCCATGATTCCTAAAGTCCCACAGTGTATGAACTATACACACACAAGGCACTGTGAGATAACGGAAGCCCAGTTAACCGATTTTCACTAGTGTTCTATGCGGAAAAAAATGGTTTCTGATGTAGGCAGCATGTGATTTGTAAAGCCACAATATTCACGGAGACAAAACAAATGGATTGTGAATAAACTTCTGGAGAGAGAGAGGGGGTCAGAGTTTACATTATTTGTCTTGTATCTACCACCATTGACCAGCAGGTGGTGCTATTGAGCTAGATTTCCACCATGAAAGTTTGCACTGACTTGCTTTTATAAAATAGATCGCCAACAGGGGCCCCTAAACATTTTTTTATAATTTGTAGCTCTGTTACAAGATATTTACAAGCAAATAAGTAAAAATATGTACCACAGGAACACAGAGCTTGTAGATTGATGACCCCAGTGCCATTTACTGCTGTGTTTGTCCAAAGGGTGGCCCTGAAATAAAAAATAAACAAACTACAATCCCATTAGGGCTTGGCATGAAGAGATGCTTTGGTAATGGAACCTGTGCAGGGAAGGGCAGCTGAGGTTTTTGTTTTTTATTGTACACAGGTATAAGACAGTGTCAAAGCAAACCACTTTCCAGTAAGAGAATAAAACTAAAGAATAAACATCTCATTAGGTACCACTCAATATCTAACTCGCATGTAAATGTTCAGATTTGAGAGTTTTTCCTTTAAAAGTCCAACATGTATCCTGCATGTCAAACACTGATATATACCCCAATGTCTAAAGTGTGATAACAGTGCCATCTTCCTCAATGCCTCCTTTGGGTATGACCAAGCTGTTCCTTGGGTCAGCCTTGAAGCTGCTCAGAATTTTGTGGATACTTCCATTACTCTCACGTCCAGAATGGTTTAGTGTTAAGTCTCTTTCTAACCTGTGGCTAAGGCTAGTGCCATTGATCCGTGAAAGGCTGCCTGATGGTAGGCTGTGAGATTTGGGAATGTTGCGTGGCTCAAGGCTACCTTCAATAACAATATCTGCATCATCGTCACTCTCCATTTCATCCGGGTTAAAATTCTGTAGCAGGTTAGCCGACGGCAAGCTATGGTGACTTGCCGTGCTGTCTGTAGACTGACCAGAGCTGCCAGACATCCGGCTGCCCCGGATTACATTGTTTCTTTGGTTGGCTGGCTTAACTGTAATGATTAGATTGTGGCTGTTAGCTATCATCATATCTGTGACCTGATCAAGAGTCTTCCCAGCTACCTCAATACCATTTACTTCCAGAACCTCATCGTTCACAGCCAGCAAACCCGTGCTCTCCGCCAAGCCTCCTGGAACCATCCTGGAGATGAAGATTCCTGGCACTTTCTCCAAACCATGAGGAGTCACCCGAACACTAGTTCCATCTCGAATATAAAATCCTAACGGCTTTTCACATCCATGTCTGTATAGTCTCACTCGTCTGTGGGTTTCTGGAAGGATATCCACGTCAATGATGGAGGACACTGGTCTAAAATCATGAGGCATACTGATGTTTATGTGTGGTTTCTTGTGGCGCAGACTGTCATTTCGTAATGCCACCAATGCATTTTTCTTCTTTCTAGTCAAAGTGGCTGACCCGAATGTGTTGTAGTCTACTTCTTCTGTAAACAGAGAGAAAGCAAAGTTAGAATCGTCTTTAAATACAAAACGGCAAATACAGTAAGCAAATTTTAGTAAGTAGGTTTTCCACATTCAGAAGGACGTGGGCAGCACCTCTCATGTAACAGCAACCATAGAGCAGCTTTCCAGCCTTCACGCTAACCCTTCTGCGCCATCTTTGCCAGCCATTTGTAGTTTGTACCGTTAGAGAGACTCAGTCAGTGTACAGGTGACGGAGTATACATTGCAGACTGAACACGTAACGTAAAAAAAAGGCGCTGAGCACTTACTCTGGCCCCATCCTAATTCTCAACCACCTTTGACACTTCTGGTCACATGACTGCCCGCGGTCGCCTGACTGAATACAATCTATTCATGCAGGGCTAGCACAGAGCAAGGTAGAGGGAAGCCTTGTAGCCCCCAAGAACAATATTGCAAATGGCCACCGCATCCATCTGCTTTACTTCCCGTCTACAAGTACCCCTGTATCTGCTGTATGTCATTTCTTATGGTAGGTTTGCTGATAGTGACAACAGTAGATCATGTCTATGCAATATGTCAGCATGGCCACTTGTAGTCTCCATTGGCAAAGTGTGTGACAATGCAGGATCACAAATGGGTGTCAAGGATACATGGAAGTGTCTGAATGAGGACCTTCAAGGCAGGATCGCCAGCGATTTTAATGAAAGCGGTCTATAGAAAAAGCTTGAAAATTACTTTGGAAATTCCATGGTACAATTTATAGTAGATTTTAGTGAATGGGCGGGCGCACGCACACACAGCTACTTTGACAATGCTAGGGTCTTTTAAAATCACTCTTTATCCATAGTTAATGCAACCATGTGGGCACTGTGTCTGCATATATAGAAACGGTTTCAGATAAGGGGATGCATCAAAACAACTACTTGAATTGCTGATAATTTGGTCAGAGCACATGGGCGGTTTCTTTTTTTTTTTTCATCTCCCAAAGAATCAAAAAGGAGGAGCATATTACATACAAATAAAGACAATGAACAAGGTTAATAGCAGAAATTATTACACCATTGTTACCCAAGATTTTATCAGCCCTCCCGTCAGGTCCAGTCATGTCAGAAGTACAAAGAGACCACACTACAGATCAACAAGTCCACAAACTGCGTGCCATGGGTACAGATACATGAAATAATTGTGAATAATGGTAAAAACACATGCATCCCAGTGTAAGGAAAAGGGTCTGAACCTTAGGCATGTTCTGGCTCCTAAAATATCATCTGATCTTCAAGTCTTAATAACTAAAGTCTTCTTTATCAAAAACCATCCACAATTGACATTGATATACATTACTGGCAGTATGATCTCTAGAATAATAGCACATATGAGACAGTAACTGGGAGTTAGCCATTGTGATTATCATTATACGACTTGTCATTTCTATGGAAAAAACAAAAATCACAACTTTGAACAGATTTTTGTGTGTTGTGTAACCAATGTATTCCAATCTGGAGATTTCAGAGAACCTCAGAAGAGCTGCTCCAGCTTATAGAAATGTAAAAGCTTACAAAGGGACTTGGACCTCATCCTACTCTGATTGACTTTAGGCGATCCCTAAAGACTCATCTCTTCAGGGAAGCCTATTCTGCCTCAAACTAACCACTGAACTATCACTTTCTCAAACAATTCATCCCCACACAGCTACCTCCTCTGTATCACTTCCCCCACCCTTTTAGATTGTGGGCCCTCCTCCATCTTGTCTTGTATAGTAATTGTAATGTTTTCCTTATATTATTATTATACAGGATTTATATAGTGCCAACAGTTTGCGCATCGCTTTACAATATAAGGAAGACATTACAATCACAATACAAACCTATGTTGCAAAGCGCTGCGCAAACTGTATAAATCCTGTATAATAATAATTAGCCTTCAGTCAGGTAGATAGAAATCTGGCACTTTAACCTTTTCAAGGACCAGGACCCTACAACGTTTTAGTACAAAGCCATGCTGCCCAATCCTCAAACAGGTGACAGAATTACATAAATAAAGACCTCTATTGAGAAATGTATAAAGTAGAACTCTGGGCAAACCACTAATTCATGATTGAAATACACATGGTTACTGTTTTACTTACCAAGGGTTATGTAATTTTGGCCACATACTTGTGATATACCAATACTAATCAGTAAGATCGATCTGGTACTTTTTGATTTAGCATTACTATTTCCTGGATAGCTAAACTGCCTCCTAGGTCAGGTCCATTGCTCTCTGGACAGAAGGGATGATGCTTATTCTTTGTGCATTAGGTAAACTGGAAGTAGAGAGGTGACATAGCTGCTGCACTGAAAAACCAAGCATCAGAAACCACATGGGTATGTCACCTGCCTTGCTGTACAGCGTGGCAGAGGGTCTGGCTTTACAGAATGACAGATCCCTAGGCAAGTAAAACAGTAAATATAGACATTTCAGCTATGTATTCAGCAATCTGCATGGAGTTGTACTTTCTATGTTATCATACAGTAGCTGACTGTAGTACCATGTCTGCCATCAGTGATTTAGAATCTCTCCCAGCATTTATTATACGATAACACTGGGAATGATCCTGATGTGTTACCAAAACGTATATCTTTAAAAATCTGCGTTAGCCAATAAAGGGTATCACTTAAATTCTGAACTCTTATAAAGCCTACAAAGCAACGGTTCCAATATATTTCCTGCTGAAGGCCTGAGATCATTTATTTAGTTGGACAAAACCATAAAAACAACATTCCCACTAACAACAGGAAATTTCAAATTCTTTTGGCACCTCATGCATGCTCCCAAAACAGAAAGCGATGCCCCAGGCCAACCAATCAGAAGTGGTGTTTATCTTCCTGGTGGTTAGCTAAATATACACCAACAGACTTCTGCAGAGCAGCTAGACAGGTGAGTAACAATAGGGGCTGAAAACAAATCGCAGGATTACTCATGGGTGCAGTTGCCAGCATTTGACCAGCTTCAGAAGAGACGAAATGGCAAATGTCACAAATAAGCAGTTAATATTAGCGTTCCTGCAGTTTGTATTCCACCAAGATCACAGAGAGAAAAGAATTGTTCATTGCAGAGTTTACTAATATCACTGAGGACTATGAAATAAATCCAGAACTGAAGCTGGATACAGGTCACACTGTAAATACAGCACAAGCATACAAAATAAAATGGACCATGTTTGCCATCAGTCGTGTGCCTTTTCTCCTCACGTAATGCAATGTTCGGTGTCATTTTGATAAGCGAGCCCCATGAACTGGATGACAGATCACTAGATGAGAATCACAGACTGTGAAATAAGTTTCCAGGCAGCATGTACGAGATGGATTCTGAAGGTACCCAATTTTCAGTACACAGTGAATGTCACTGGCTCCGCAGTTCAAAAAGTCCGAGATAACTTGGGTTAACTGTGTGAAGTAATCCTGATTTGGGGGGGGGCGTGGGGGGTGGGGTCTGTTGTAGAAAGACTGATTAACCGTCAAAACCTGTTCCCTTCTATAGGACCAAAGTGGAGCAAAATGCATTACACTCATCGCTTCTGTCGCAACAATTACAAATCAGAAGCCAGCAACATTGCAGAGAACATAGGAGTATGGAGGAGGAACTTGGAGACAAATGCCTGACCGCTTTACTGTCCCCAGGAAGGTGAGACGGCCACAGACAACCCAATTTTCTCTTGTAGAATTATACTAATCTGGCAATATGGATCACCTGACCATGGCACCATGTCATGGTAAAGTACACATAAGATAAAGATCTATGGGGTCAAAGAGGAGGTTCATGTACAAAGCTACTTTTATAAATGACTGTTTAGTGGTAATAATTACAGTGAGGCTGAGCAAGATTTTATTTTCACCAGGGGGGGATCCAACATTTTGTTTCACAGGGCAGCATAAACCCTAAAGGAGACCTGTACTGAGAGAAATAAGTAGGCCATGTTGTACTCCTGAAAGTGTTAGCTGCCCCAGTCTTCAGTACTTTGAGCTACTTGCCTGGAAGAAAATGTTGCAAGCAAAGCGAGTGCATACTTGTTCAGAAACAGCAACTCAAAAAGTACCGCAACCCTTGGCAGGCGACTAGCGTTTTCAGAAGGTCAGTGCTGATAGCGTCCCTATTTCTCAGGGTTACCTTCACTCCTGCTTGTAGCCATCTCTCATCATCTTTAGTGGACAGGACAAGCTTTATATAGAGATACCTTTAGTCAATTCCTCAGGTCTACTGCTTAACATGACACATCTTTGAAGAGCTTCTTATAAAATAAATGTACTATTAGTCCAGATCAAGTGTCATTAACTCCACAGTACTTAGTCATATGATTGCTACTAATAACCTTTATAGGCCCATTCTTATTACTCGCAATTCTATACATTGAATATGTCCGATACGCATTCAATAGCGTCTCTAGAGTCTCTCACATCCTCTAGAACTCTTTACCCCAACCTGTCCATCCATCTCCCACTCCGACTGCCTTCAGGCGATCGCTAAAGCCTCATCTCTTCAGGGAAGTCTATCCCACCTTCAACTAACCGCTGAACCATCACATTCTGAAACAATTCATCCCCACACAGCTACCTCCTCATCTATCACTTCTCCCTCCCTCTTAGATTGTGGGCCCTCCTCCATCTTGTCTTGTATAGTAATTGTAATGTTTTCCTTATATTATTATTCTACAGGATTTATATAGCGCCAACAGTTTGCGCATCGCTTTACAATATAAGGAAGACATTGCAATCTTTCAATTTTTCATCCAGTTGGTTACTGTTCCTTTATGATAAGCACAATGCAAAAGAGCATCATAGTAGACATGTGCATTAATCCCAGGATAACAGACTATATGTTGATGAAAACAGCATAAAAAAAACTTTCAATCTTTTGGTGGGCAGCTGAACACTTTAGACTCATCTTCAAACAAGGCCGGAATTTAATATGGCCACAGTGCTATACTACGGCCGGCACAAATCTGAATGAAATATTCAGGGACACATTAAACTCTCCACTACCT